AGCCATACGTCTTCCTAAATATAAAGTATTTATAACAATCGCTACTGTTAGACTTTTTATCTTCAACTTCTTCTTTGATGTATAAAATTATTCAATATATATTTTTTCGTTTTAATTCCAAGTTTTACCGGGTTACACTATGCGGGGAAGTTTGAAGCACGTTTTTTTCTTGACATCGGTACTGTCGGTAGAAGCTTGTATATTTACCAATTAAGATAAAAACATCCTACTACTTTATCGATAGGTGGCTACACTTCTGTAATATCTTAGAGTTTAAATTTGAAAACAAAATTTTCGTGGGTATACTACATTAATGAATAAGTATCGCTGTATTACAACTTATTAAATTAAAGAAAGGTGTTTGAATTCATTAAATTTTCCTTTTCTTGCATATTATTTTTTAATTATGTACATTAATTATATTAAATAGGATCGAGAGAAGTTTTTTCATAAAAATGAGGCGCTAGTTCCAATAACCACTCTGGTTGTATCACAGTTATGTCCTTCACATATGTTTTGTTTGTTTGTAAAACTTCACAGAATAGTAACCTGGAACGAGAACAGATAAAAGTTTAGTATAGCACATACAACATTACAAAAAAAACTTTAAAATACTGAGACTTCTATACAAACCATTGAGGTTGCTGAAGTGTATATAAACAACTATTTGGATGAATATACAAATCCCTATTACCACGTATCGTTTTGTATACTCCAGTGTAATGTAAGTACGCTGCTTTTGGGAAAAGTCCGGCAGTTATACATTTTAAAATTTGTTGTACGTTTCCTTAAAGGAACAATAAAAATAAAATTATTATGGAAATATTTTCATGATTTAAATACTGGGGATCTGAGTACCGTACAACTTTTGGAAATAAAGTTTTTCCGTATCTTAAAAAATAACGGAGATATTCCAGGTGGTAAAAGTTATTATCCCACCCTGTATATATAAAATAGTATTATGTTTATCTAATTTACCATTACACGAAACCAATTGTATGTCTAATCTCTTCATCATAGAATGCATTTGTGTTCGAATTTCGGTAGCCCTTCGTAACGCTTTATGATTAAGAAATTGTTTCTGACACCAACTAGGTGTTTTATTCTTATCATAAGCAGTATATACATTAAGTAACGTTAACAGATCTCCTTCTTCAACTTCGAAATTTCTATGTGCCACTCTTGCTTTTATAGCAGCTTGTCCTCCAACTGGTCTTATGAAAACATTTTGTACTTGAAGCATCGCTAGAATCGTTGATAATTCTTCAGAACATCCCATTTCACCTACAATATAGGGAGTAAGGTAATATTAAATATTATTAAAAAATATAAATACTGTTTCATTTCTTAGAAATTTACCTGATACTATAAGAGATTTAGCCAAAACTGGTTCTAACGGCATTTCTGCCATTGTCATACCTAACGGCGTTGTTAATTCTCCGTTGCTATCAATCGCGCCTAAAGCATAAAGTAACTCTAGACCAGTAAGAAGATTTTTACTTGGCGGAGCAGAGGGAAAATTGAATCTTAATACATTGTCAATTCCCAAAGCTTTCAACTGCAAAATGGCCGGCGCTAAATCCGAGCGTTGCATTTCAGGTGGTGTTGCATCAAACAATTCTGAATATACTTCCTCCGTGTATAATCTACAAAAAAAGAAACTAAATGAAATTTCGAAACGTGTAAACGTTCGAGCAAATAAATTTTCGTTAAATTTTCAAAAAAATTAAACGTTTAGAAAATTAATATGTACCTATACGTTCTTCCTGTTCGAACACGACCCGCTCGACCAGCACGTTGGTCTGCGGAAGCTTTGGACACCGGAACAATTACGAGAGAATTCGTTTGTGTTTCTGCCTCGTACCACGGAATTTTTACAAAGCCGCAATCAATAACTAGATGAAAATTTTAAATTATATCCGAATCGTTCGATGAATTATCATTATTATAGTATAAGTAATAACGAAACAAATAATATTTTTATCATAACATATCAAAGAAGAAATAATAAAATTTTGTAGATTGTGTATAGGAGTTACATTATATTATCTGTACCATAAACGATATTTGGAATAGTGATAGATGTTTCTGCGATGTTCGTTGCCACAATAACTTTACGAGTATCTTTGGCAGCTCTCCAAAATACTTTCAATTGTTCTGAATTCGGAAGGGATCCATACATAGCCAGAGGTAAAAGTTTCACTAAAAAAGAAGAAAAAATAATATAAAAGGCAACGATAAAAGCTATCTTAAACCTTAAACAGTTATATAAGAGAGCAGGAGCGAAGAGAATATCATTTCGAATCTTACTCACGTTTGCCTTCTTTTACGAGCTTTGCATGCTCTGATAAAAGAGAAACTGCCTGATCTACTTCGTCCAAACCTGTAAGAAATGTTAAAATATCGCCCGGTTCTTCATTTTCATGAATTTTTAAAGCAGTTTCTACGACACTGGTAACATAATTAGCTACTGGCTCTGAAAAAGGAAAAGAAGTAGAAATGTTGTAAATTAGTTTTACACGTTAATTATACTCGCGCGATTAAATAATCGACACCGAAACAAAGAATTAATAAATAAATTTCTTTTTTTGGAAAATAGAAAAATACTTGCATACCTTTTACGAAGAAAATATCAACCGGATAGAGTCTGCCTTCGACGGACAAAATAACCGCGGTATCTTTTGTCGAATCCTTTGTTGCGTTTATATTGAAAAAGTCTCGAAGTTGCTCTGCGTCGACCGTGGCGGAGCAAACGACGATCCGTAAGCTTTTCCGTTTCTGAAGTGAAATCATTTATTTATCACATTTAAATATAACATCTCTCGTCTTTATTCAGACATATGCATGTAAAGGATATTAGCGGGACAAGCATGATAAAAGTGGCATAAAACCAAAAGTATATTTGGAATTGCTCTGTTTACGAAAAAGTAAAAATTACCGTTTTTCAATTTTTTTTCAAGTAAGTTGCACTTTTTTCGAAAAATCTGAAAAATTACAAATGGATAACCATAACAGGCTGCTGAAACTGTAAAAATATAAACGTCGTCATTTGATAACTTCAATAAAAAATCGGTATTTTATAAATTTTTTAATTTTTTAAAAATCAGTTTTACAATAAAAAGATCTGGAAAAGTTTCCAGACATACAGTACAGTCAAGGACAGAAATATGTGGACACACTTCAAAATAGAGTAGCTTGAGTTGTTTTGAGAAGTTATAAGGATTAGTTTACTAGACGACGTATACAAAAAATTTCGAAAAACTTGCAATTTGTAGGAATCGCGAAGAAAATTGTAAAGGTCACTGTTTACAACTTTTTTATCTGGGCTTGTAATGAAAATTTAAACATGTATTCCACTGGTCGTGGTATCCCTGATTTTTTTCGTAATTTTTCCTGTGATAGAATAAAAGAAATCGAGCTTAAACTCTAAATCACGTTTCGGTGTATAATTACCGAAATAGTAGGGGTAGAGGGTTGAAATTTGGCAAAAATGATTTTCTTTCAAAGGCCTTTCGATTGATATATTACAAGTTAAATTTAGTTTAGGGGCACTTTTACCATGCTTATTCGGCCGTATCTATCCTCTTTGATTCCAAAATTACCCGAATTATTTTTTTTAAAAGTCCCATGATAATGTCCGTAAGAAGGGTCCTCTCGTGTACTTCGTCTATTACAATTACAGAATAACTCGTCAGCAATGGGTCGCTCATTAATTCACGAAGCAATATTCCCTCTGTCATGTACTGTGAACGTAATGAACACAATTTTTTATTTCATCCCAATTTTTCATCTTTTTTATTTTCATTTTATATCTCGTAAATAATATAACACTATAGTACAATCGTATCACCGTTATCAACCAAAAACGAACTACTTAACAATGAATAATTCTCGTGATACGTATTATTAAATATTACTTTTGAAATTAATTTGATCAAATCGTACCGCACGAACGGAAGTATATTAAGTGAAAAGTGAAAGCTTTTTAATAACAAATCGTTAAGTGAAAATGTAGTAGAAGAATGAATTTTTCATGAAACATAAGTAAACCGTTTTATTTTAAGCTGTAAGTAAATATTTTAATTGATAAATTTCTATTCTGCACATTCGATATTTAAATCTTGATATTTAACCTATCAACGAGGCTTTCTATCTTTCCCTCAATTCTTAAATATTTAATTCTTTTTAAATAAACGTACGTTCGATAATATAATTTACAATGGAAATCACATTAAGATAGTGTTATACAAATTTTGAAAATTCATACGAATATCAACGATTTATTTCATTTTCCCTTGCATCGATTAACGCTCGAAGCAATACCTTGATCTTCGTTGTCTCGTCGGTATAGTTATCGAAACGTATAGAGTAACCAACTTCCGTGCCTAAAATACAGCTGCGTTCATCGGCAACGCGATTAGCTAAAGAAGTAGCTGCAACTCTTCTTGGTTCCGTGATGCCTATCATTTTTCCATCTGCACACCATCCTGCTTCAAGAAGATACTGTAACCATTGTATAATATAAATGTGCATACGTGTAACATTTGTTGAATATTACATTAATACGTTTCTAAAAACAGTAGGATAATTCATTATTTCGATTATCATTACGAATATGAAATAAGCTATTCGATAAAAATTGAACGATTCTAATAATACTACACATGGGTGAACAAATAGATTTTTTTCTTCAAAATAATCAAGATTATTCGTTCTTCTATTTTCAGATAGTGATTTTTGTACGATTTATTTAATAACCTGTGAAATATTTGTTTTTTCTACAACGATAATAATAAATACAACTTATTCAATATTTATCGATAAAGATAGTAATAATTTAAGAGTGATAGTATCGATGTTATACTGAAATTGTAAAATAAATGTACATTTTTATTAGGTACCGTGAATTAATTAACGAATATATAACTAATAAAAACGAAAGAATAAACGGAATGTTCATAGAGGAAGAAAAGGAATAACTTTCTTGATTAAGCCATATTAT